CATATTCGTGATTATTTCACCTACCACTTCATCTGTTATTTCATTTATCATTCTGTCCATCTCTTCATTTGTTGTTCTATACATATACTTATCTACTACTTCACACTCTATATCATTTACTATTTTATCTATTAATTCATTCACTGGTTCATCTACCACTTTATTTACCCTTTTGTCTACCATGTTGTTCACCTTTTTATTCAAGTTTACAATTTTACTATTTCATTTATTTCTCTATCTTTTGTTTCATTCGCTTCCTTAATAATCTGTTCCAGTAATTGTTGTTTCTAAAACAATTTATTTTAAATTAAAAAAAAAATAAATTATTTTATAAAAAAAAATTGTTACTTCCATATTTAAAGCTGTGACTCCTAAAAGCAATTCCACAATTTTTTGTCGATCGAAATCATCTTGCGATTTGGAAGGTTCAAACCAATTATCAGGTAATTTGTCTTCATTATTAATATATCACTCTTTAATCTCTTTTAATAATAAAAAGTGGCATAAAGAGTTTTGATCAAATACTAATAAATATAGGCTAGTTTTGATTTGTCACAATGTCTGTATATTTATAGCATCTAAATCAAAAATTGTATTTATTAAATTAGACCATGCAAAATTAATTAATTGGTTTTCATAACCTAGCTGGGTCAAAATTTGAAATCTTGTAAAAAAAAATTTTTATATGTCTTAATAACCAGGTAGACTTTTTAAAAAAATTTTAAAAAATTTTTATATATGAAATTTAAAAAAAAAGCCAGTCGGCCGGGTCTGTTTAAAAGTTTTATATTATGAAAACCAAGATATTAAATTTGTACAGCCTTATTAACATTAATAAAACTTTAATTTTAAAGAAAAAATATATTTGAATTGCATACAACAACACAATAGCACAGCACATACCCAATCTTTTCTCTGTGTATCTTCTATCCACTTAGACACTTTTGTTGAAGAATATCATTTGCATGTTCTACAAGCCCTTGGCTCTGTAGATGCCTCGGGTGACTATTAATAATATGAACATCGGGCCATATAGTTAATAATTCATAGATTATCTCCACAGTAAACTTACAACTATTATCAGTCTAAAGAATAATTAGGGCACCAAAGCAAACAAAAATATCAAAAAGAAATATGGCTACTTCAATTGGACGCTTGCTAGTTAGAGCCCAAGCCCACAAATACTGTGTGAAATAATCACGAATATGATATATGTAATGATAATCACCATTAAGAATGCTGGTCATAGAAATTAAATTTACTTGAACCCTATTGAGAAAGGCATTTGAGATTATTGGCTTTGCAGCTACCAGATTTGGAAGATTTCTTTGCGTTGCACATGTTGTGCAATTTCTTACAAATTCTTTTATAAAAGATTGTGGAATATAACAATACTGTTCCAAAACCTATATACATATGTATATATATAAAAAATTTAAATAATAAACATATCACAGTAATTATAATATTATAAAAATTACATACCATGTCCCAGAGTTTTGATGAGCCAATATGCTTTAATACCCCTTGATGTAAATTGCACAATACTTCATATATTTTGTCAACAGAACACACAGGTAAGTTTTAATCAGCTTTAATAAGTTGAATTATAGGATTATTAGCATTCCAAGATCATATATGGCAAATATTTTTTTTGCCCAATAATGATCTTTTGCATTTCTGATTATTGTATTTGCTAGATCTTATAAAACCTTAATGCAAAAATCAAAATCTTTACGTGTAATAAAGGTTTTACATTGCCTATTGACTGACTTGCCATCAAGATATTTGGAAAACAGGTTTTCAAATGCATTGTGAGATAAGAATAGATACTCTTGAGGTTTGTTTATCGATTAGAAAGAATCGTAAAGAATGAATAAGCAAAATGAAAAAAAATATATTTAAATATTTAATCATTTAGTACATAATTTACTTAACTATCATGATATTAATCAATTACACATTTATTAAAGCATTGAATTTAATATTAACTTAGATTGCTTTAAATTTATTAATTGCATATTTATTATGAATATCAAATTTAGAATCAACTTAAGTTGCCTTTAAATTTCATATCAACTTGGATCCTATTTAGAATTCCATTTCAACCTAAGTTGATTCTAAACCCATCATAATTCTGTTCCCACATACAACATATATACTTAATCATCAATTTCATTAGTTAAAAGGTCCCTATTGCTATAGCTATTTTTTATTTTTTTTCTACTTTTAATAAGTAATTTTTTTTCAATTTTGTAAATAATAATATTTTATTTTAAATATCTTCTTGCTAATAAATTTATTTTAACATTCTCTAATACTTGTTCAAGATTTTAGCAATTGCTATATTTAAACAATAAGAAAATTCTATATTTTGTAAATAAATCTCTAATTTGTGTTTGTAGTTTTACTAAAAACTCTTCAACATTATTAGAATATATAAGAAAACTATATGTTTCAAAGAGTTTGATATTTTTGCATCTCAAAATAACTATAGTTTCTGTTTAACAAGTAGATTAATATCTGTTTGTAGTGTGTCTTTTTGTTTACTTGATTGTGTACTTGATTGTAGCTTATTGTCAATTGTGCTTTCTTTCTTATTATTCTTCATTTCCTTCATACTGTCTTTATTTATCTTATTAATATCTTCTTTAATAACTTCTTTTTTTTTCTTTTATATATCTGGTTTCTATGCCAATTATTTTGTATGACTTTTGAATTATTTCAAGTTTTTGATTACAAAATTAATTTATATTTATAATTGAACAACATAGCATAATTTATGCTATTTATAATTGAAAAATATAGCGTAGTTTATGCTAAAATAGATCAAATTTTATAATAATGATTTTTGATTTTTATTTTAATTTTCAGAACTTCGATCTTTGAATACAAATGCTTATAAATTTCTTTATTCTTTTTAATATTATATATTTATTACATTCTATTTCTTATCAGGCTTATTAGTAAATTTTAAATATTGTGATATATTTGTAAATTGTAAATTATATAAATATCTACTGTATTATTTATAACTAAATATTGTATACAATTATTCTTTTATTAATATATGATATTATTAATAAATTTATTTAACCAATTTAATGTTTTTTTAACATATTCATTGTTTATAATTTAATATTCTATGGAGTTAAACCTCTCCAGGTACACGCCCTTAAAATCAATGGTTGTGTGCATTTAAATAGTGTATTTATAAAAAGTTAGTGTTTTTTCCCCGACTTTATTACTATAAATATTAGTAATATATTGAATCTTTCTAATTATTGTGTTGATTTATTGTCTGTATCCAACCAGAACTATGATTTAATCGGTCAAATTTTTATATTAATCACATGTGCGCACTTATAAAAAGAGAAAGTTTTTTTTTTTTTTATAATTTAACTCTACATAAAACAAATCTTTTTTGTTTATAAACCACGATACAATATTAACGATAATTTATCTTCAATTACTATAACCCATAATAGGTATACATTAGTTGTTTTTAAAGCGTAGCTCTTAATGCATTATTATATTTATTATTCAATATTAAGATTTTAAATGGAATTTCATAATTGGACAAATGAAAATTCTGACATTGACATTGATGAATTTATTAAACCAATTAAACATGATGCAAGAAAATTTAAAGCCATTATCGGTAAATATATGTTGTTTAAAAAGGCTTGATAATTCCAAAAATATAAAACAAGAATTAAGTAAAGTGTATTATTAGGCCACATAAATTTAATATCTTGGTTTTCATAACATGAAGCTTTTAAATAGACCCGGCCGGCTTTTTTTTTTTTTTAAAAAAAAATTTCATATATAAAAATTTTATATAATTTTTATAAAAATTTTCTTAAAAATCCACCCGGTTATTACAGCTGTTCTCATAAATTTTTGGACAT